CTTCAATATTTTTATATTGATTTTATTTAGATGTATATTTACTTTTAGAAAATTATAGAGTAGAAAATCGTATACGTCGTTGGTAATTCATTTTTGAAATACAATTTAACAGAAGTAATAATTTATTATAAATATATTTAGTCAAATTACAGTTACCAAATAACTTTCTTTTGCTACATTAATTCAAATGATTCTTAATCTGCACTGATGTAGAAATAAAGCTCGATTAGCGAGCACTTACAATTGTGATATTAAGCTTCTTTATTTATTCTAGACAGGCTTTTAGGCGCCGGATGTGCCGTTTTGTATTCATATTTTTTTGCGATGGACAATTAGGCATGTTTTGGACATTTATATGTATAAATTCCTTTCTTATAAGGAATATATGGCTAAAACCAGAACAATATTAATATACATGTAATCAGTATTTTTGTCTATGATTTCATATTTTGATGTAGTTTAAACAGTATTCAGCTTATGAGAAATACTCTTAAAAGTGTATCTTTTTTTTTCGAAATTATATTTCATTTGAGAGCTATACCAAAAGTAAATATAACATCAAAATGAATTGTACACCATTATTTCATGTTTTTATTTAATATAAAAAATGTAGATAAACTTAAAAATGTCTAAATAACCTGAATTCAAAAAGGTTATATACATATATGTCGAGGGTAGTATGACGCAAGGATAGACATTTGCTGGGAATTCACCACGTGATTAGAATATACTACAAGAAGTCAGCTAAAGTTAATAATATCCCTAACGTTATTTATAACGTGCGAGGTTTCCCCTACATAATGAAGACGAAGCTAATAATGACTACTACAATTTTATTGTCCAAACATGAGGAATACCTGTGGATTTATATTCCAGTGTGGATATATTTAGGTTTTATTTAGAAGTGCAAATTTATATACTGACCTAGCGACCTCACCTAATTTAATCGGACAATTATTTCTAAATGCATGACTCACCTTAAAAGCTTTAAATGACATGAGCTTCTCACTCATACTAATTGGGTCTATCCACATAAAGCCATTAGCAATAAAGATAAATAAAACATAATTGAGGTATTGGCTTCGTTTTATAAATACTTAATTAACTTAAAGACGAGGAATAAATATTTACATTAATTATAACAACAAATTGTGGATATTTCTTCGATTGTAACAAAATTATATATTTAATAACAAATTTATCAAATGTCACATTTTAAATGAACATCAGCAATAAAATAAAATATGTGTGACAGATCAAGTTTACGACCTGGGAAATTTATGACGTCTTAGAAAGTAAATCAGAATCAAATATAATGTCTTTAAATATTGCTTCATAATAAATATTCAGTGGCGGAATGTAGTCCGAATATATGATATTGGTAATTGTAAATACCAGTGATGACAGGGTAATATAGCTTCTTCGTACACTTTATTTTCTTTGCCGATGCCCGAAATTCGAATGTTTGAAAGAGTCTAAATTAATTTAGATTTCTATTTTAGAAATGTTTAGTGAAAAATATTCTTCGATTATGCTTGATTGAAGGTTATTTACAAATAATCGAATGTTCTCTTACCGTTTTAACTTCAGAAAATTTAATATGAATTAAGAATGTTTATCAGGAGTCTGGCGTTAAGCTGGACACTTTAGTAAGACATTATTTATAGGCGTTTATGAAAAAACCAATTTAGTCAGCCGTCAAGAATTTTATGGAGTGCTTCGGTGCCTTTTATCTTATATTTTCATTGAAAGAATGTGACAACGGTTAGGTAAAATAAATAAATTGAAACAAAATATTACATTATATAATATTAATAAGTTAATAAAGTAACATTTTGTTGGACAATCTACAGAGATTGATTATAGCCTCACATTAACACAATAATGTGATGCTATAATCAATCATAGGTTTTTTAAAGGTTTTAAAGTATTATCAGCAGTTAAATAATCCCACAGGGAACTCCCTCGGGAATCCTTTTGATTATCACCATTTCACAATGTCACCTTCAAGTAATTAAGCTAGATAAATTGAAGCAATTCGCTATCACACGCCAGCCCATGGAAGTTTATTACTTAAACAATCCGCTGTACACTTAAATATTGTTTTACAACCTATAAATTTATATAAACAAATATAGTGTGATCGTGTGGGATTTATATATTTTTGTTCTTTATATAATAGTTAGTGTTACCATATCGCAATTAAAGTTCTGTTCGGCAGAACAAATTTATTCTAACATGAATTTAATGCAATTCACATTTGCATAACACGGTCATACCGTGTCATGAAGTATGGTCGTGTTATGTGACGTAAAATGCAAATGTTAAAATAAGACGAATATCAAAAACAATTCATAATTCAATTGAGTTGCCATATCATATGTTTTTTTCAAATTAATTAATATACATTTATTTTATGTATTTTTGTTAAAAATATTTCTATTTGTATTCTATATTTACGATTAGAATTTTAACGTTTCTTTTATGAGCCATTTTGGATAATCTTGCGTGACATTGCGGAAAAATTACATAAAAATTAATATTTATTCCATGGCCAACCCTAAGAATTATAGGTATTTAGCTATAAATCTGCTTAATTGTTTCATTCTTGTAAAAATATATTATTCAGTAAACATATGAAAGTTACGGCATTTTAAATAATTTTTCCTTGAAACGATCCGAAAACTGTCTGTGTGATCTATATCTCGGAACACCCAACACCTACGTAACTTCATTTTGACGGAAATATGTATATTATTCAAGTTATTTCGAGATTACATGAAATTTATATAATGTTAGGATGCTCTTTGATAAAATATTTTAACATAAGCTTATATAAAAACGTCGCTATACGAGTTCTGAATTGGTAACCAGATGTGTTATGTCCGAAAAGTTGGGTCATTTATCGTATAGGGCAATGTTTTTGTTTGTATCATTAGTTTTAATGGAAAGGTTTTAATACAACGTTCCATAATAGGTTGGCATTACGGAATGTCATGATTTGAGTGAACATTTGGTGCTCAGTACAAATTTTAATGGTATCAACCTTTATATTCTAACCTCAAATGGTTCTAAGACCTTAGCAACTATAAAAGAGTATTTCATATTTATGGACACACCTTTGTTCCATCAAAATAAACTTAAATCAATTTTATTTAAAACACTTCGTTTGAAAGTTTTTGTTAGTTTAAATTTAAATTAAAACATGATTATGATCACGTAGCTTGCTTTCCTAATTAAAAATAGATTCAGATAATTTTCGTTATAAGTTCAAAAAAATATTAACACTTTTTCCATACAAGCTAATTGCCTTAACTTAGTCTAGACCCAAATAATATAGCTATTTCAATAATCCCTATATGATTACTAAATATCCATAGAATAGTTTTTTTACGAGAACAGAAAACATTCACTGTAAACATACTAATATTTATAGTACAAGCAAGATGAGGTAATAATAACAAGTGGTTGAGAAAATTAGGTTTATCTAAATAATGCTACTAAAGAGTATAGCATTAAGCATCAAAAGTTTTGTATTTTTTTTTTCTAACCATTTAGTTAGAAAAAATTGACGATTTCGTCATTCGGGAAATTGTGAATAACATATTTTGAAAAACAGTCAATTTATATTCATTAAATCTTAATAGTGTAACCAATATGAAAAATTTTGTTCAATATGTCATACTACTTTTTAGAAATATTATCCCGTTGGTATTAATAATTTTGGGTCTAGGAAAATCATCTCATAAACATTAATTATCATCGTTGTAGAAGCAGACCTACAAATTATTTAAAAGGTTGTACCAATTTATGAGGGATTTTATATTTATTATATTAGGGAGATGTATCGTAAATGATTATTTAATTCTTCTAACGTAAAATTAATCCTTTAAATGCACTATATAGTACGTTATGTTATGCACATATATAAATGCCTTCAAGTACTAACATTTTTCATTTTAGTTAACTGCAAAGGTTAATTTTAAATAATTTTAAGTGCAAAATTTATTTTCTACTCGAAGTTGGTTAGTATTTCAACATACACTTAAAGTCGGAAGTTAAAAGCTCTTGGGAATATAAAATGGTTTTGTGAAACTCATCCTGAGCCGTTTTTTGGAGTAACTTAAACAATTTCTGCCGATATTTTTTTCATTAAAAACGACAGCGTGGTTTCTTATAATGTATTATTGTCGAGACATTTTACTTTTGTAATAGAACGGAGCAAGTTTTTAGGAGTTTCTACGCAGGTAGTTTGAGCGGAGTTTTCTGCGACAGTCGGAAAACTTTCAAGCACTTAGCCAATAAAATAAATTGTATTCCATCCATCCTAAAAGAAAGTGAACTTGAGAAATATTTCCGCGCTTCATCAAATATATCATTTTGAACTTTCGACACGTCCATAAATAACTGAGGCGTGATAGATAAAATACAGTATGTTACGACCTTAGTTATTATGCCTTCATATAATGGGTTTTCCCTGGAGCATGAAATACGATCAAATATAGATATCAAACACTCGCGAATTGCTTAATTTCACTATTCCACTAATGTGTCTAGTATTACAAATGTAGAATATGTTTGTGTATGGACAATTCTGAATAAAATTAGTATGTCAGTGTCAATGGTAATGAAATAATATTTTATTCACATATTAGAATTTATTTGTTCGATAAATTTTTAATAAAGAGTGACTTTTACTTGAAATTGTAACCGGTGAACGCAGACAGGGTTAGAGTATAGTCAAATAACGTAAGCTTGAAATGACATTGACAAAGGTCTAAATTATACGTAGGATCAATACAAATATAGTCGGATTATCACAAGTGTTTTATATTGAAACAAATAACGTGATCGTTTGTAAGCATATCAATAATTTATACCGTGATTTGAATACTGTTTTCTTTCTTTTCAGAAGATGTCTATCGATTCAAGTGGAAAGGATTACCAGTGTATCGATTATATTATTTAGCAGAACAACATACAAACAATAATAAATAAAAATGTCCGCCTCTGAGGTGGATGGGGGAGCTGTAGTGGCATACTGCATGCCCGCAGGACCAAATTTTCAAAGGGTATATGTCAAAGTACATGGATATATAGCACTAATAATTTGTTTACTTGGCTCAGTGGCAAATTCAGTAAACATTGCAGTACTCAGCCGAAAAGAAATGATGTCATCAACAAATTCTATTCTGACCGCACTCGCTGTTGCCGATCTCCTAGTAATGCTCGACTACATACCTCTAGCACTTCATATTTATACAAACATTGCGGACGAGCTCAACCGTAACTCCTACGCCTGGGCACTATTTGTGTATTTTCATTCCATATTCAGTCAGACATTTCATACCATTTCAATATGGTTAACAATAACGCTGGCTATTTGGAGATTTGTAGCTATAAAATTTCCACAGAAAAATAAGACGCTTTGCAATAGAAGAAATACAAATATTGCAATAGCTGTGGCTTATGTTGTGTGCCCAATAGTTTGTCTTCCTATTTATTTTGCTATGGATATACAGGAGATAACAAAATCACACAGCGAAAGTGACAATACGACAATGAATGGCACAGATTTCCTAAACAAATCGTCAATCAAAGAACCAATGTATGCGATATCTATGACCAATAATCAAAATTTATTGACGGCCATATTTTGGATTTACAGTGTTTTCCTAAAACTGATCCCTTGTGTTGTTTTATCTATATTGAGTGTGTGTCTTATATTGAAAATGAAATCCAGCGACAGAAGACGACAAAAATTACTGAAAAAATCTGCAATCGCGACGAATGAGGTAATAATTAAATTTTTAATAAAAAACAAGTTTTTGAATATTGTTAACGCTTTCTTCATATTATAAACTATAAACATTTATTATTTAATATTGTTTATTTTTTAAATATAATGTTAAATTTCAAATTATATTATATTTAAATTATAAAAAACCACTGAAACATCTTCCGAGTGAATATAAATAATTTAGCCACTTTAATGGTATACATCCTTGAATTGTTGCTTGTTTAATGTTGGATGGGTTAGAGTGTGAATTCTCAATGTTTTTACGTATCAACAAGATACTAAATCATGTTAAATCGACCGCCCACGAGATTTTCTATTTCCATAATCAACTCGTAATCATGGTAAAATGTAGGGACGTTTAAATATCCATACTTTTTGGTACACGTTTGTGTAGGTACTTAAAGAAAAAAATTGACACATTTTCATAAAAAGCATCTTATTCTAATTCAAATGGAGTCTCCATACGATAAGATACCGAGTGAAGTAATATGAAAGGCGTAAGTACTTTATGTATTTTATGTACATTTTGTTGAATATCTGAAAGAGTTTTCTTGTGTAAATGCTTGGAAAAATGTCAAACCGGTCCATAAGTATCACTTTCATACAGGAAACGATGTAGATAGTTGCCATTACGAAATAATGGAGTAAATAATTTTAAAGTTTTGTTGCTTTTATATTTTCGGGTGGTGTATCATAAAATATTGTGTATTAATTTTTAAATTGAATTCCCTTCTTTTTAATTGAACTTAGTTTATTAATAAATTCATTACGAAAAAAGTTTAAAGAAACTTCATTTGATGAATATAAAAAAATCATATAGCTTTTAATATAGACTCAGACTCAGAGTTTTTGTGATGATAAATTTATCTGAAAAAAATCAAATAGCTGAGATACTATAAATTTATATGTAACAATAAATAAGAATCTAGGTTTGTTGTTGAAGCGGATCAGATCTCAGAAATATTATGTTATTAATTTGCTAATAAATTCTATCCTATGAAAACAGAATTATAGAACTTGGTCGATTAACAACGATGTTAGCGTAAACACAAATTAATATACAATCCAAGTTTACCTCATTTTTAAGCGTTTATAATAAGGAAAGACATTGAAAACAGACGATTTTACTCAATCATAATTAACTAAATATGTAAAGAATGTTTAAAAATATTTGTATGTATCTACAATGTATGTAAAAACAAAATTAATTAATTCCAAATTCAAATAATTACCAGGCAATAAATTAAATATTTATTGCCATAAGTCTAATTCTAGAATATTTTTATTTTATTTCTCCGTTTAACAAATTCACTTCACGAAAGGATTGGACGAACAAATTAGTACATAAAGTAACGAATCATAAAGAAATCTTTGCAGTATCTTTATTATGAGTTATATATATTTATCTAGTATCGAAAGTTTCAACGTTTTTCAATACCGTGACCGCTAGATACATTTCTAGTGCTGACTGATTTATACGTGTTTATGACGCAAAACTTAAACTAATTGTGTGCGAACTGTTAAATATTTGATATTGTATTTTTCTATATAAAAATATACAAAGCTTAGAAGCTTATTATGATATTATTAGTACGAAAATTAATATTTGCTTTATTGTTTTTCTTTATACCTAATGGGAGATTCTTATAATATGTCTGAAAACTTATGAAAGAAACAAAATTCATGTTCATAGTTATATTATGATGTAAAATCGCTCGAACACTAAAACATTGTTATGTAAACCTTATTGTTTAAATTATTAGAAAACTGTTTTACTTATTTATAGCAAAAACTATTTTTTGTTGTAATGTTATTTCACGTTTAGTTTCCTAATTTATAGCAATTGACATTATTACGATAATCATTAATAATGCAGCTTTAATTATAATTAAGTATAGATAATTGACATGCCTTAACTTTGAATAATGAATAATTAACTGTGCAGGGTGAGAAGACGCGTCTTCATGAAGAGGGGAAGCGTGGCGGTCGAACCGATCGAACGACTAGGATGCTGGTCGCATTGCTAGGCTTGTTCCTAGCAACGGAATTGCCGCAAGCTTTATTCGGACTACTCACAGCTATTGCACCACACTTATTCGAAATATGCTATTACGCTTTTGGTATGTATGAAGTATATTGGATTTGATTTACCGTCTTTAGCTTCTAGTTTTTAGTTTTTTTTTACCCTCTTCAATTAGTATGCCAAAAACTCATATATTATTTGACATTAAAATAGGAAGTTAGTTCAAAATTTATTCATGTTAGGGTATATTGTATAGATTTATGTCCTCGTTTAGTTGATAACGCTTTGAGGTCCTTTCTGACTTTTGATAAATAGACCCCACAGTCATAAATCTAACCTATGCTCCTTGTTTACTCTTGACAAATAAGTGGATATTTCATAGCCAATTTATTTGATGGTAAATAATTGATATGATCCTTCTGCATCAATTACTACAGTAATAATAAAACTTTCCTTACACAAACTTACATAATGTATATCAATATTAACTTTAGATTTCTCGAACTTGGTATGTATATGAAGGTAATTAATAATTATTATAGATAAAGTCGTTGTTCAGTAAGATATATGTATATTTGCCATTCAATAAATTATTTCTCATGAATAAAGTCTAGAAGATTCGAATTAGGCTGCTTAATTAAGCATTATCACTTAAAAATGTAATTCATTGCTTATTTTCAAGTCAAACAAATTTTAGTATATAATAGAATTGAACAGCAATTAAGTAGGTAATGAAATTATATATTGGCATACAAATAATTTATAATGTATAAAATTTATAAATTAACGTGATGTATTTAATTTAAGACATATTACCGTAACTTTGAAAAGCTTCATGGACTCATTCATTTACATGATGAAAGGTGACGTTTGTGCCTCGTTTCCAAATGACTTTCCGGCCGTAAAATTTACAATTTTGGAGCTTCTATAACAATGGGTTAGAAGACCTTGATGTTTACTTTCGATAAATTAATTGGTAAAATCTATCAAAAAATAAAATTATGTATAGCTTTACAGATTTTATTAAAGGGTGTGTTTGTGACACTTTCAGTTTAATATTACTTGCGATATTGGAACTAATAATTTGAAATAAATTTATTTAAATTAAAATAATTAGCACGGTATTGTTGTTTTTATTTAAACTTAACGTTTTCTTATGATTCTCTCTTAATAATAAAGTTTTCTTAAAGTCAAACGCGACGTATATACTCGTATTAAGGGCTCATTTTGTCTTAAGAAGTACCAATTATGTTGGGTTACAAATTTTATAACACAATCAAAAGCCTCTCTTTAAGTAATGTAATTAGCGTGTTTATTCGTCTGTGTTTTAATGGATTTATTCGTTACACATATTAATATTTCATTCAAATGAATACCGCAAAATTTGGAAATTACTTTCATTATTATTGAATCAAAATTAAACATCCATAGTAATTGAGTATCATTAAATGTTAAGAATTTCTTATTAATAATTATTGCTATATTCCAATGTAAGGGCATATGTAGGGCACGTGTAATTTTTTATTAATAATGTCATTTACATGGTAACGTAAAAAAAGTCGTCGGGTTCGTTGAGGTTTTGATTGAATTCGATAAATTTTACGGACCTTTCGCTCGTAGACACGTCTTAGGAGGTACTTAAATTATATTACTGACACTACGTGAACATAATATTTAAAGACCGACATATTATTGGGCCTTTTACTGTTTTATATAAAGATAACCGAAGTTTTAAACCGTGTTAATAATTGATTTAGTCTATCAAAATTTGATTCAAGACTATGTATTGTAAAGTAATTTTCTTTTCTTACGCTCTATTTACTGAATAGATTAAAAAAATCTAATCATTGCATGCTGTTCTTGAAGGCAGATTTTTCTGCAGAGTCATAATATTATAAGTGTTTTAATATATCAGCGCATTATACTAAGAAATCTGTAAGAGATGGAAAATAAATTCTGTTTTCTATTGAAATCTATATGGGTAGAGAGGATGAGTTATTAGAAAGAGATAGGAATGTAATACGAGTAGGGGACCAGTGCTGCATGGTTTTTGCTTTCTCATCGAACTAAAATGCAAGTATTATTTTGCAAAGAGTGTAGGAGCGCCAAGAACCATCTTTTTCATATAAAAATTGTAACAATGTACAGAAGTATGAGCGTATAGATCTATGGATGTTTTATTATTTTACACCTATAAACTAACTTTGTACCAAAATGTAAGATGTATTACGAAAACTGACTTAAGGGAAGTAACATAAGAATAAACTTATATAATTATATTATTACTAATACAAGGGTCTGTCCTGTTATATTAATATTTATTGTTGCAATATAGGAGCAAATTCGTAAGTTACTCGTTCTTGAAGTTGGGATCGTTCAACTGAAGCAAATACTTTGTTTTCTACTATAGACATTTATGTATGTTTATTAAGAATCAAAAATATATATTGTATATAAAAATATAAAAATTGAATCTATTCATAAAAAAATACGTTAAGACTTTTTAACCATACGTTTATGACAAAGCGTTATTATTATACATATTAATTATATATTACATGAAAAATACCTTGTAGGTAAACCATATTATATATATAATAATTCCATACACTTTGTAATAAAAATATACAGTTTTAGTTTTAAATAAAACTATTTTTATGATTAAATTCAAGATTCAATAGAAAGTCAGGGAAAACAAAAAATGAGACGGGTATTGATTAAAAAATTTGCTTTGATCTATCAACATTAAAGAACTACTCGGTTACGATTTATGGCGATGATTGATTGGTGAGCAAATAATGCCGGATTGCTAAAATTATCAGCTGTGAATATCTTTGACTTGACAAATACAGTCGATTACAATCTGATGTCACTTATGTTCTCGGGTTCATATAAGACTAAAGTTTTATAAAAATTGTATCCACAAAAATTACATTAAGAAATTAATAATTTATAAATATGTATATAACTATGTATTACGTTTTTATTATAAAGTTGTAACAAAGAATCAAAACTCAATCGATCTTTTAATAAATGATTCCATAAATAAATAAAGTTATACAAGAAAGATGTAAGTGATGAGAAAGAAGTAGAATTTTACGAAATAAACCATGCCTGTAGCATGGATCTCTTAATAATTAATCAATTAAAATAAATAACCGGATTTTTTTTAAAGATAATATAAGAATGTAAAAATCAAAACTGTTCATTGTTCAACTAGAAAAATACATCTTATGTATTTTTCGTTTCGTTTCGTTCTTATAACACAATAAAAATAAGAAAATTTAAATATATGCATTGATTGCATACCATATACATTTACATATAAACATTAATCTTAGATTATATATTGCATTAGTATGTTTGTCAAGTTATAATGTAATAATACCACAGTTAATTTCAAAATGCAAATTTACAATATTAACTCCGTAATCACAGAACTTGCAATCAGAGCACGAGCAGTGCTCAATCAGGTTAAAGTGATTAAAGTGCTGTTTGTCCACATTCTGAAAGACTCGATGTTTACATATCAATCAAATGTCATCCATACATTGATTCTGTAATATGATTACATGTGTCTTTTAATAAACCATTTGTGTATATAGTGTGCGTCCTTTTTTGTTTGTTTTAGATACATCAACATTAACATTATACCCCTTGGTGAACGATCTCAGCAGTAACAAAGTTCTTAGTCTCTAGTCGCGACCTTGTTCATTCCCTCTTCCTCTTTACATAGTTTAGCATAATATCGGCACATAACATTGGCGAAATATAAGGAAAAACCACTAACAAAAGTAAAAAGAAAAAATATGATTACAAAAAACCCTTTACACTTCCAATAATTTTTATACAATATTTTGCATTAATATAAACCGTTTATCTTAAACTTTATTAGTCTTTAAATTTCTTGTTAATTGGTTTAGAATTTTGCACATACATATGTACTTTTATTATTCTGCTGAAATTGTCTTTATCGTAACAAATAATTCGGTAATATTGTGGTAAATTATTGAACGTTATAAAGTGACTATTAGCCTGAGACACTAAGAAATGAGAACAGATGTTGCTTCGTATGTGTAAAGACTTCATGAGATAATTCGCACTGAAAATAGAAATCAGTTGCAGACATTTTCGTTCAAAATTAGTTTAAAATCTAATACCTAGAAATATGAATATAAATTGTGTAAGCTTTTATAACAAAGATTTTAACATAAGCGGTTTAAGTTATCAGTTAAGTCCCTTGACAAATTCAGGATTGGATGATGGTTTAAGTAAGCTTTTAACAACGACCCAAATTCAACTCACATATATATTATATACACATATATATTATATTATATACACATATATATTCAAGTTCCTCATAAGTAATAAGATTTTAAAATTTAATATAGCGTAAGTGGTACATGCGGTAAACATATTTATCATTTAAATCTTAGTATACTTGAATTCATTGACACTATATACATATCTAGTCCATGGTCACTCTATCTATTAAGTTTAATAAAAATCATATAATATTTTCGTTATTATAATTCGTTGTAAGGATATAACAGTTTGGTTTTTCTCCAGGTGAGGTGATGGATTTGATGGCGCTGGTGGGTTCGGCTGTAAACTTTGTGTTGTATTGCAGTATGAGTCGACAGTTTCGTTCGACATTTAGGCGGCTGGCGAGTAAACTGTTGCCTTTATCCGTTGAACGTGATAATGAGCCAGTGACCACAACCACAACTGTCAAAGCGTAGCGATCGCGACACGCAGCACAATCTGCTGCGGAACTTTAGAATAGCTGTCAAATTGAATTTCCAGTGTAAGAGGTATTCGTATTACCAATATTTTTTTCAATCACTAGATCTTGATAGTATTATGTTAGAATATACTTTTTTTAGAAATAAATGTTCGAAGAAACTTAATGCTTATAAAATATACATTTTAAAAAGTGAAACGTTTTCGCATTCTTCTGTTATAAAAAGAGTCTGTCATGTGTTATAAAAAGAGTGTATTATTTTGCAAAGAAAAGCAAAATACCTTTTGAAAAGTGCTTTGTTTTAGAGATCCCTTTTTTCAAGTAGAAGCAAACTGACTTCATTGACTTAAATAGTATAGAAATACTATAATTCCATTATGTCATGTATTGGGAATGCAGTTTTAAGATGGGAGCTTAATTTTTTAGTCTATCATAAATTTCCTTCGTCTTCAAAAAACCGATAAGGATGTGTTTAAAATCCAAAACTTTCAATCTGTCCTCATAATATTTCTTCGCAACATGTAGTGTGCTACTTTAATAAAATCGTTATAATATTTTTGTTTCTTAGTTTCTTTTAAAGACAAACTCAAAGGAAAGGAAGTCTCTTGGAAACATATAAAGTAATAGTGAATATGATGAATTTGTTAGTAATAAATTTATAGGAAAGTGATAACTTTCTTGAATAGTTTAAAATTGTGTAAAAGAGGTAAATTCATAACGAGTTTGTTTAAAGAAACTCAACTGCCAGTTTCATTCAAATCTTCATATAAGATCGTATTGTAATAGACTTATTAAAGAAAAATATTTTAACAGTACGCTGTTTAGTATAACGACACAATTATAACTAATTAAGGCTTTAGATGAAAATGCTTATAAGCATCAACGAAAGCACTTTTAAACTGACATTTACAATTAATGTCTTTACGAGTTTGATGTTAATGATAGATGAAAACAATTAAAAAGGACATAATGGTGCTTTATAATTATTTATAAATGTATAATAATATTCTTTAGGTTTGTTAGTAAAAATTATAAGATATAAACTTAATGCTAAATGAAATGTTTCTTATATATGATATAATAAACTTTATGTATATAAATAGATGTGTTTTGAGTCTACACAGAGCAAATTTATTGATTGATATGGAGCTAGTAATTAGGTTTTTATTGTTTGCTATCAATAGACGATGTCAATACCCACTTGATTGACGACATATTATACATTAAATTATTATTAATATTAATTTAATTATATGTTGTTATAGGAAAATATATATTGTAATCTATATTAAGTTATTTAATTAAGAACTGTTATAAATTTTACATTTTTTATACTTTAACTAAAACATTATATGAAAATTTTGGCTTATTAAAAACGGTTTATGAATTTAATTTTGTATTATATAAGGTATATATTAGTTTGTAAATACATAATTAATAATGCATACAAAATTTAAAAATATACTAAATATGTAATTTTCTAGTGGTCATAACAAATGTAGATAGAAATATTATTATGTATTATATAAAAATAACCAACTTATTTGTAATTTGCGTATGATTATAGTGATAATATATAAAGTAAGTCATTATATTAATTGAATTATTTCCAGAAGCATTTAAGATTAATAATAATAAAAAAAATCGATAGAGCTATTAATATGCTTTAAGTATTTGTTTCTTTTAACATGAAGTTATGTGTTTTCTTATGTTTATATGGAAATAAAAATATATGTGTAATTTTATATAGAAACATATATTCTAAGATGTTTAAAGGATAGGTGAAGCCGCCGTCAAAAATTATGTTATGAATGTATATTATCTTAAAATGAGACTTGATAGTGAAACGTCGTAGAATGTACATGAAGTGTTAGATCAGTTAATTAATGTTTTATATAGTATGTATTTAAAGGTAAAACTTATATGTAATAGTTATACAAAATAATTGTAATAAAGATTTGAAATTATATGTCATATGATTTATTGTGACCAACATCTTGTTTAAAGTTCTAATTAGAAATAACATATGTTTTTCTAATGATATATAATTAATCGAAATAAAACCTTAGTTTTCTTTAAAGATGTAAATGAAACATTATTTAGATGACTGAATTAATCTTTATTACCTACAACTGTTTAGATGAAAACAATTTTATTCATAAATATCATTTCATAAAGCATTAAAGATTCCATCTCACTTTCAGAACTGATTCAATTATAATGCTCTATCAAATTTCAGTTTCAAGTGATTTAGTAGCCCCTGGATTTATATTCATGAACATTTAATTTCGTCGTTCATAGATACTTCAATGTCAGAATACAATTTTAATTAATGTCTGTTATAAATTTTGATGTATTAATAATAAAGTATTAATTTTATTTTGAATTTATTACTATTTTGTTATTCAATTTACGATTTTCGAATACTTTAGTCTAGTATAAATATATTACAACAAATGTACTAGCGACTTCTGCTTTTAAAGTATCATGCATCGTTGAGATGGAATGTACATTACATTTTCTGTTGAAAACGAGCGCTGAGAAACTCTTAAAGAGAGATTGTATTGTGCTCGATAGAAGACAAGATCTCTTATTTTATAATCATGTGATGCAAATTGTTTTATGTTTTAAATATTTTAAAGTTCTCTACGAAAATATATACCTCCATTATTTTTTTAATTTTTCAATGTTTTTCATTTTTACTACATCTCGTACAATATTACTAAACAAATATTTTTCTGCTTTCTATCGTTAAAAGTTACTTTTAACTAATTACCTTCAGGTAAGTCTGTATCCGATTCTTCATTTCAGGTGTAATAGAGTAAGAATAAATTATATTTATTGATTATTATCTAATATATGAAAATGAAAATATATAAAAATGCAAATAATTTGTTCTATAGATATGATTTCCATGTGTACGTAGGACTCGCAAATATGTAAATCCATCACAGACAATACTATTCACTAATTAAAATGATTTCAAAACTTAAAAACTACAAGAACTTAATAACTACGTGACCTTATAGTTCAACATCAAAGTTTTTTATCCACTTGGACAGTTTTATTTAATAGATTTTTTAATACCAACTAACATTTTTAGGTTATTTGGGAGTTCATTATAATACTATTATTTGATTGGTTCATTTAAATCTCTTTCTATTGAGGTAAGGACGCTTTGGTTGTTTTATTTTGTGTTTATAAAACCAGCTTACTAACGAGATTATCCTGTTTGTTGAGATGCTGGCATTTTTCTAACTGTACAATATTGCTTGTGATGTCAACAAGCAATATCTACATCTTTGTGTTATTTTATCTTCAGGATACCTCGTAGTTTCAGTCCATATTCTTTGTATTTACTTCCACTTAGAGTTTGGATTATTGTTAAAGTTATTTATAACAATAATGTAGATAGTTAAAATTCTTCTATATATCAGTCTTACAAAAAAAAAAATAACCTATGTACAATATTTTAAACTATTACAACAATCTGTTAAAAACTAGTTATATTTTTTACGATAATAAATATATGCGTTCGGGGCTCCAAACACAGACTCCCTAAACAAATAGAAAACCCCGCGATTGCAGATGTTGTGAATTCGGTATAAAGCAACAGTAGCTACCTATATATCATTAGTGGAGAGTTTAGCAGAGAAAATGATTGGAAAGTGATGTAAATTTGATATGTTTATATCTGAGCATAAAAGTATTATTAATTGTATTAAAACTCTTCATGAAATGTTTTGGCTGTCCACAAAAATTACTGATTTGTTTGACAACACAGGAATTTTAAAATAAATATATTATAACGTAAAATAAAGATAGGCAAAAAATATATTTTATTTTATTTACTTAAAATAAATAGATGTCTTGTTGATCGATCTTCCCTAGTTTTCGTTTTATGTAGTTGTAAAAGTAGCGAACGCATTATATATTCCAGATGTTTAACGTACCGTCAATCAGATTTCTTTCCTCACCCTGTTACGTAAGTGAGGTTGGTAGTCAATATAAAGTATGTTTCATATTAAGTTCGTTCTGTTATAACAGTTGCTCGGCGCCTGCCTGGGTCACGATCCGGGCGTACCTCAGATGTTTCCACTTACGACCAACAATAAAACACCGGAAAAGAAACATTCGTCTTCCGCACATCTATATAATATTAAATTCAATTTATATTCCTATTTTAGTTACAATATTTTAACATTAGACATGAACTTAGTAACAATGCTATTTGTAATAAATCCATAATTTTTAACAAATTTTGTAGTTGTATTTTATTGATAAATAAAAGATAAAAACAGGATTAATTTGGAAATCATACGTTTTATATTTTAGATATATTCTGGAGTGTTTTTTGTTGGGTTGGTAAAAAGTAGAGGATTTACCTTTATTCAAATTTTCTTCGAATATTTATTTTGCAATCTGCGCACCTAACAAAAAATTTACGTAATACATCGCCTTGAGCACATGCCACCATCAACGTCTCAAACATTTCTATTATAGAAAGAGATTTTATTTTCTTGGCTTAACTTGAAAATTAAAATGACTGATATATTTGGTTGGGATAAAATAAGCATCTTGATATTTAATTAACATAGCACGTGTAACACGTTTAGAAACACAAATTTTATATTTATGTTATATTAATTTAATTTGCTATAATCTCTAATATATTCCTAATATAAATATTTATATATCATAATTAATATTCACTTCATTAAATCCACTGCTGGGAGTAAATACATTTAAGCAAGATAATACATAATTTATTCCGCTTCAAGGCAAATGCATCTTCGAATTGTTTAGTTATATTTTTAGTAGTAATAAATAGTATATTCAAATTAAATGTAAATTATACATTAAGAATTGTATGGACAGAAGCAGTGTTAGTTGTCTGTTCATTAAAAAAAGTAAGTTCTTTGGTGTCATTTTGTTGAGTTGATACGGATTTATGTAAATGTTTAAAAAAATTAATGTGCCACGTAGTCAACAAATATAAGTTGAGTGACCTGATTTATTACAGACGTTTTTTTATGTTCTGAAGCACAAAATTAGGACCCAAATATGTATCATTTATATCCAAATGTACTCAAAGGAATACAAATTTCTAGA